GATTAGCTGCTGCCGCGGCCACCGTGGCCACCGTGGCTTTCGTGGGAAACTCTCTATAACGGCATGCGGGTGTGGTTTTTCCTTCTATGCTCTTGTGTATGTTTTGGCTACAATTAATGAAATTGTATTTTGCTGCTCGTGTGTAGATGCTACAGTTTTGATTAATAGTCGTCAACGGGGCAGCCTGAGAAATGCTTTGGGGGCAGCCGTCGTTGCATGCCCTGCAAGCTCAGCTCAGCTTAGCTCAGCTCAGCTCAGCTCATCGATGTTGCACTTGTTCTAATGAGGCAACCTAATGGAACGGACAGGTACCAGCCTCAGCCTCAGCCGGGGCGCCTTATTGAGCAATTAGTTAAACGGCCACTAAACTGTTGACAGTTAATGTTTTATCAATTGTTTTTTTTTTTTTTGGGGTCTTCGACATAAATCAAATTTTGAAGTGCAACTTTCACATGTTCTGACGGACGATTTGTCAGCGTTCGCTGCTCACGACTTGCTTGATATGATAGACCACCAGTAGAATTTTTGACATGCTCATTAGAGATCCCCCAAAAAACTAGCCCCCGTCCACTCCTGCGACCTCTCACTAAAACAAATAACTCGCGGGCTTAGGAATGCGAGGGCTGTCCAAAGGGGATACACTGTCGCAGATACCCCAATGTGCTTAGATACTACATCAACAAATATTTGTTAATGTATGTGCTCAAGCAATAGTTCGATTTATTGATTATTGAGTCAGAAGCAATGCAAAACATAACTCGCCCCACGCCGAAATATGTTTTTCAAGGTCAGCAATCGGTCAGTGCCCCAAATATTTTGTAATTATTTTAATGCTTGAAATTATAAAATTATAAATATTAAATACTTGTACAAAATAAAATAATCAAATAAAATACATGCATTTCAACAAATAATATGAATCCGTGTAATATTTAAATTATATAAATGACTCCTTTCCATAATGAATAACCAATCTTTAAGTAACAACAAGGAACTCAGGCAATGGCTTGGATTTAAAACTTAAATTATGTATTTATATATGTTTCTTATATATTTAACTAATTTGTTTCAAAGTCATATATACAAATATTTCGATATGCAGAAATATATTATTATTTTATCAAATCGCTTATTATCTGTTTGGGGTCTGAGAAGCGTAAGTATAAATTACTTTCGCATAATCAAAAGAAATCACCTAATAAAATTCATTTTGAAAATTTTAAAACTGTCTTTTGACTATCCAGAGCAGTAAGCATTACACTGTAATATGGCATACAATAAAAAATACTGCTGAAAAATGCACCCCTCCTAGTTGAGAGGCTCGACCCACTGTCAGTGAGTCAATAAGCGACACCGTGCAACATGATCCATCATCAGTTAAGTTGAAAGCTGTGTATAAACAAGGATGAGCTAAAAACTATTATTGAAACACGATGCCGCGATGACAACGGACAAAACGCTGCTCAATAATGTTTGTTGTCTGCTCAGATAGACAGGGAGTACAATGGGATGCCCCGGACAGAAGGCAGAAGGCAGCAGGCTGATGCCTGATGCCTGATGCCCGATGCCCGATGCCCGATGCCCGATGCCTGACAGATCAACGTCAGACAGCCCACAGCATGAGATGAGTTTCCAGCTCAGCTTGCGATCGGCACGCGACACTCAAAAAGCTGCCGCTTTTGCTACTTCACCGCATATTGGTTGAAACGCTGCAGGATCGCATCAGTTATTAAAAACGATGAGTGCTCAGTTTGGCGTTGGCCTCCTAATGGTTTTCTCGCGAGCTTATCACCGTGTTTTCATCGACCAGCGACTTTCAGTTAGCACCCACGCACCGCACGCAATTGCCACTCTCTATGCTAATTAGACTAACGTCATTATCCAATTCGATTGCCAACCCTTAGCTCTCGGGAATGCCATGCACCACGAATTTGTATAATGTGCCAGTCTCAACGTATTTTTCTAAAGAAAGCAGCACATTATTTGGCATGTGGGCTCGGGGATAAGGCCGATTAAGGGTTCTGCGGCTGTGCGTAGAATGTTGACTAAGTAGAGCCTATTAGCACTTGGGCCACATTAGAAACTGATTGGATTTATAATTCAGAAAATTTAATTATATATCGAGCTTGTAAGCCGCTAGATCTTGGCAAGATTTCCACATTTTTTCTAATCACCTCTGCTGGTCATGGTCAACCAGATTTTATCAAGAAATTCACATTTTTTCAAATTACTTCCTCTGGTCAAACATAGCTCTATACTGATCAACGTTTTGTATGCTGTGTGTTGAACAATGTTTCAAAAAGTATTACTAAACATTGTTAAAATCGTGACTCAGTGTTAATCAATAGGGGTTTTTGGAAAGTTATGTCCACAAATATGATGAATTTGTGAGAAAGCTGTTCTGTGAAAATATAAAAAATATTTCAGAACGAAAGAAAAAAGTGAACTAAACTGCAATTCACTATTAGGCTGGTTTAGTTTTAGTACGACTATTACAATAATTGTAATTATATTAATAATAATAATTTGGTGATCCTGTCGCTTTCATTTATTTATTTAGGCTCAACTTAGAGTTGAGAGAGCCCGGTTTATCTTGATGTTAAGTCCCTCGACTGTTAACCCACTTATATTGAGTACACATTATTTCACCCAAATATCGCAATTCCCACACCCACACCAAGTTGAAATATGTAAGACAATCCAATGACCATCTGCTGGGCTTAACCCAATAAATAGTTTGCATACTAGTAGTAGTTGCAAGAGTTGAAAAGCAGAGTTCGGCTTTGGCTGCCACGTCGAGTGGCCGAGTGAGTCATAAATTGTGAAATGCAATGCACATTATCGTCAGTGTGAGATACCAAAAAGTCAAAGAGCTGCAGCAGCTCAGAGGCTGGACAGAGGAGGACAGCGTCGTGGACACTTTCTGGCAAACAGTTGGCACCTTGGCTATACTCTTAGCTCGTAGCTGAGGTTTTGCAGTTGTAGTTGTAGTTGTTGCTTGCGCTGTGTTATTTATGAGTTTTGTGATGTTTCTGCAAATTTTTCTATGTAAGAGACTCCTTGGGTCTCTTATGCAAGCTTGCTAGTTGAACTTGTGTCTCCTCGCGCTTTGGGACCTTATCGCACGTCAATTGCGCAGACAACTTCATTGTAAGGCCAAAAGATTCCTGCGCATTGATGTTGACAGCAGGAGTTCCAAGCACGCGTCGTTCGCATCCAAACCACAGAAGGTACTTGCTTAGATATTATTATTTTTGTCTTTTTTTTTGTTTTTTGTTTTTTGTATTTTTCCTTTGCTTGCGGTTTGTGTTGAGCAGACTTTTTGGTGCCTGTTGCCTGGTTGCCAAGCAATCTAATTACATTTTGTGGCCAAAGGCGCTGCGAAATTTCAATAGTGTTTGAGCGATTTCCATCAGTCAATAAAAACTGAGCCTCAACTCGTGCGCATGCGTCTTGTGGATGGGGCACAGCAGGCATATGTGCCCCAGCAGTTGTGTGTTCGGACTCTGACTGTGGTTGTGGCAGCATCACTACATCTGATATGCCCCCGTTGCTGACTGGAGGAAGGAGTTCGGCTCACAACTTTATTTGCGCTGCATTTCGTGGAAATCGAAATCTGCGAGCCTCGAAAAATACTTCGTTGGAAATTGGAATGCAAATGCAATAGGACAACAGTTTTTTGTTTATTTATTTGTTTTTATTTATTTTGTTATTTTTTGGATTGGTTTGGTTTTCCATACGTCTAACAAATTATAGAAACGTGCTCAAGGACAGGGTGGACAGACAGACACGAGCAGCATATGCTGCGCTGACAAGCCAAACAATTAAAACTAAAGTGGAAACGATCAAAATGTGCAACAGAGCACCCGGCACAGAGATCTATTGCTTCAGATATAGTTGCTGTAAACCGCACTCCCTGCCAATTTGCATATATTAATATATTAACCGTTGTCCAACACCCTCACAGGACCTTCCCTGTGATGATGATGCTATGGCGTGACTCATGGCGTGCTGGAATTCTAGTTGCATTTGTTTTCGAATCGACTCGCCAGCAATTGCCAATTGGCATTTGGATGTTCAGCGTCATGTGTTTGTTCCCTATGCTAATGAGTCGACGGCGTCGTCCAGGAAGGATACTTCAACAGCGTCCAGTCCAATACGATGATGATGAGGCGGCAGCTCGCTTTTGACATTGTCATGCTGTCAAGCGTAACCAAACTCCGATAAGAGCAATAAAAATGAAAATAGGTTGCGAGTGGCCCACAAAAGCAACAATGGATTGCGAGTAACATCTGTGTGCTACCAGAAGTGATAGAGTGAGTGAGTCTGGCTGACTGTGTGGCATTGTATGAGGCAAGGCTACACTTGGCGAAAAATTCGAAATAAATAACGAAAATTACGAAGTCAATGGAAGTTTTGTATATACTGAGAAATAGCTTATATTTGTATTGGAAAGCTTAAGAAATATAATACATTTTTCAATGGCTTTTCACATCACAATGATGTATGTATCTACCTTGGTATGATCTTTATACAGAATGAGAATTTCTGATACTCTTACGCACCGCTACATACTATATACTTAGAGTAGATTCGCAGAGTTTAATAATTTCTTGCAGTGCATGTCATGGCACGCGATCAGTGGTAGCCCATAATGCACGACACGTACCAATGCTATCTCCCGGCGACTGACTGACTTAATATATGCACCCACACAGTGATGACACGCATACCTACCAAAAAAACAAAAACTGAAAAAATAAAACCAAACATAAACACATAAGCAACATTTCAGGGACCAACTCATCAAATTGGAACTGAAAATTATGCCAATTGGTTTATCACTTGGCAACTAAAAAACAAAAAAGGCAAAGGAGGGAAAACAATTGCACTGAATTGAAACAAACAAAATGTTTTGAATGCCAAATTGCATGAATTTTATACAGCTAAATATATATAGGGAGTATTCATGTTTAAGTACAGTTGGCGACAAGAGCGATTTAGATGTAATCGCTGAGCCAACGCTCCTTGGTCTGACGTCGCCAGTTGAGGGGAAACAAACGCTTCCAGACCTCGTAGCGTGCCGAGTTGAGGCCCTCCTGTAAGACAAGCTCATCACCAATATCCAGATAGAAGCGCTTCTTGAAACTAAAGGGACGCCAACGAATGTTGCTTAGTTTCTCATCGCTGGGTTTGTTGGGATCTCTTCAAAGAATCAAATGAAATTAGTTTCGATTAGAATTCGATTTAATCGTTTCGATTTTTTTTTTCTTCTACTAACCCCTTGTAGACAAAGGCTGAGAACATGCGTGTCATAATTTCAACCATGCGAAACTCGTCATCGTCCTCAGTAAACATGCGACTAATTGAGGGCTCCACAAACAGATACATTAGATCATCGTGATGGACAACGCCAAAGGGTGCATCCTCCGGATAGTGGATGTGGCTGCGTCCACCCTGATAGGCAAAACGATAGTAGTACACCTTCGTTGAACGCGCCGCCAGATGCACAAATCGATGTATGCCAAAACCAGTCAAGGCATCCGAATACAAAGTGGCCAAGGATGGCAGCGAGCTATTCGCATCCAAGGGCAGCGAGCCAAAGTAATGTTGGCGCAACTCCCGGCTAATATTCTGGGCACGTGGACTACTGGCATTGTACAGGAAACAGACCGGAGCCAGTGACTCAAAGTTGTCATTGAAGGCGCTAAGCAGTGAGGGGCTTTGCAGAATAGCTAAAGGAGGGAAACAAAAAAGTGGAATAAATATTCAAAAAATCATGTTACAAATATTTACACAAAATATAATATGTTGGCCAATAAACGCAATTATTGACCAAGTTGATACTCACAAATAGCTGGGCCCACAAACTCATCCTTAGTCATTCCCGTTATGATGGGTATCTTCATGAAATTACCATTCTGATAGCTTTTGACGGGATCCTCGATGAGGAAGCGCTCCTGCCCAAAGTCCGGCTCCACCACGGGTTTCCACAATATCAGCGGATTGTTGCGTCCAAAGTCAAACATGCGAGGCAACGAATTTGCATATTCCAGATAGTGTTTCTGCAATAACAAAATTTAGATCTATAAAAGTTGGTCACATTGAGAGAAAAAACATTAAAAAGTTTACAATTAAAATCTAGAATTTATGATTAATTTAGATTTACTGGATTTAGATCTGAGCTGGACAGATCAAACCAAGAATTAACTGTTTTATTTATAAATGCCAGCTATCAAAATACATTTAACAGTTCGCGTAAACTCATTTTTCTTAGTGTATTATCATTTTGATTGACTCACCCCACGTAGGCAGTTTAGCATCTCATTCATATCGTCCGAGCTGCAGTGCAGCAGCGCCGCTTGCTTCTTGGCCACATCGATTTGATGCTGTGGCAGCGACCACTGTCCCGTTGCGGAGCCACTCATCACAATGGCCCGTTGGAACAGACCCTGCGACATGGGCGACACCATGTGCAGTGTTACAGCCATGGCACCGGCTCCATAGCCGAGCAATGTGATCGCATTTGGATCGCCGCCAAAGCGTGAGATGTGCAGCTTAACCCAGCGCAGCAGCTGCACCTGATCCTTGAGTCCCATGTTGCCAGCGGCCTGCTCTGTGCCCGTGGCCAGAAAGCCCAGCGTGCCCAGGCGATAATTGAAGGTGACCAACACCAGATTGCGATCCATAAAATACTGTGGTCCCGCAAAGTTCTTGCTCTGACCGGAGAGCGAGTAAAAGCCACCAGGATGGATGAACACAATGACGGGCTTCCTGGGATTCGGCTGCGATTCGCTGGGCAACTCCCGCGTGTAGATATTCAGCCGGAGGCAATCTTCGCTCACATCCTCACTGAACAGACCCGGCTGGGGGCACTTGGGTCCATCGAACGTAGCATCGAAGATGTCGAACCATTGCTCAATCGGCTCCGGCGGCTTGAATCGCAGATTCTCCACGGGCGCCTTAGCATACGGGATGCCCCGAAATGCATAAAAGTTGCGACCCGCCTGCGAGGGTAGAATGGTGCCTCGGATTTTGCCCAGCGCTGTGGTAATGACCAAATCCGATAGCTCCTTGTCACTGCCAATGGGTACATCGTCCTGATCCTCAGCGTCCAGTGTTTTGGCTAGCCCGTTGCTGCTGCTGTTCTGGCCATGCACAAAAGAGCTGCCAAGCAGCAGTAATCCAAACAGTTGCCACATCACGACTGTGGAGGCTGTGTCTACAGCTTGAAGCTTTTATAGTCACCAGTTGAAGATCGGATTATGTCAAATAAAGTGTGCAAATTGATGAGATTCCATTAAACGTGGGCGTTGAATTTGCATTTGCTGTTAATGTTGCTTCCTCGTTCTGTAAGCTCTTCCCATATCCAATTGCTGCGTCAATGTAATCCATAAATAACTAACCCGCTGCCTGCCAGTTCTTTCAGTTCTTGGTTGGTTCCTTCGGCTCTTCCCACACACACACACCCAGCCACACACCAGGGGCACCACCTATCCCAATCTGCAAGATCGGCCCACGCACACGCATTTCTCCCAGTTTGTGTATATTGTACGATTGTATTGTATCTATTAATTTGTTATTGCTCCAATTTTCCCACGTGAACTTGTTTGCGTGTTTGCGGCTTATTAGATTAACTGCGCATTTAAACACCCTAACTCCGATGACCTACCCAAAAACCAAAAAAAAAAAAAAAAACACACACAAAAACAGCAAGAACAGCAAGGAAAGGAAAGTGATCCTTAAATGGCCGCTAATAGCGTTTAATGGTGAGCATAAAAGGTGAGCACAAGTCATAAAGTTCTGCTGTGCAAGATGATGATGATGATGATGACACACCCCTCTAAGGAAGGAACCCCGAGTGAGACCAGAGCCACTCAAGTGCGTTAAGTGTTCCTTTGTGCTCGTCTTCCGTTTGTTCTTCCTTATTTGTTTTCCTTCTTTCCTCTTTTTTTTTTTTTTTGTTTTTTGGACATACATAAATTGCCAGTTGTGCACGGGCAGACAAAAGCGTGCTAATTGGATTTATATTGGTCATTGTGAAAGCAACTTGGTAGCAGCTTCTTTTCCTTCTTTTCCTTCTTTAAAGTGTGAAAATATATCGTGGGTAACTGCTTGGGCTGTGAGCGATTGCCAACGAGAAAGTGCCAGCGGATATTGCTGGGAACCAGCGAGAAATTGAACTCAAACGATTCCCCTTATACCCTGAACTCATAAGAAATGGATGAAGAGTATATTATTAACTTATGGCAATAAATGTGATAGGTCAAGGAGGACATATTCGATCACAAAAATCATAGAGATTGGTTGTTATATCTAAACATATTTATTTCAAATACTTTTTTCAAAACTGGGAATTCAAAAGTATACAAATATAAAAGTGTATAAAATATGTTGCCAATTAATTTCGACAATCCCATTAAATCTAAGGAAACTTTCTTATTTAATTTGTATTATTTAAACTTACAGAAACAGCTCGATATTTATATCGAAATTACAGCATGAGGTGCAATAGCCGTAGGGGCTAGAATCAGTCTTATAAGCCGCCACCGAGTTTGAGGATAAATGACAGTCATTTAAACTGGCACATGCTTCAACTCCTACACTCCCAGCACTGGAGCTGTGGCCATAATTGATGATTTTACCATATACTCTCCCGTTTGCCTCGCCCTCAAATGAATGCCAAGCAGAGCGAAGAGTCAAGATCTTCACTCCTTGACATCTTCACGTACGTACTTATGGCCAACAATATTATGGCCAGCTGTGCTGTTGTTAGACATTCTGTGGTCGTCTACGTCTTCGTCTCTGTTTCTGTTTCTGTCTCTGTCGCCGTCGTCATCGTATTACCAGGTAATTGTAACATCAGCTCTAGCTTGGACTCCAGCTCGGCAGGTGACACAAATGCAGACGCCTCCGGTGCTGCGAAGGTTGCGGCCAGACACTAATGACGACGACGACGACGACGTCGTGCCATGCGCCACAGGATGTGTCTGCAACGTTGTCGTGAGGTGTGAAGAGTGGCAAAGATTTGGCCTCCACGTGCGTGTGTGTGTTCTGTGTATTTGTTTTTATGACTCCTGCCGCGACTTGGAGTGTGCTGCCCGTGGTGATTTTGTTGGTTTTTCACAATAAAAGTGTTATGGTTTTAGCATTCAATTTGATTTAATTAGTTTGGCAAATGTTGACATATTGCTACGAGCCAAACAAAACTCGTTTGCTTGTGTGTGGTCTCAACCTTTCACTGGAAACGGGTATAGTAACTATCTCTAATCACTATCTTATAGATATGAATCAATAGCATTTGCCAAGTGTGCAATTTACGCATAAAAAAATGTGCATTCCTCTCGATTGTCAAATCGTATAATTTATTGAGCATAATCATTAGATCATGGGGCGTTTGACTGTTGAAAATTAGCATTACATTCTATAGCCAGTTTGCTTTCTAATGCGCCCCTAGCGTGATAGGGATGAACCAAAGAACCACCCCAAAAAAAAAGAGAAAAAAAAAATCAAAAAACACACACAGGGAATATTAAATGCACATTGACTAATGAAATGTTTGGCGATTTGAATTCACATTTCGAGTGGCCGACCGAAAGGTCGTTCTGGGCCAACTGATTTTAGTAATTTATGGCCCACAAAATCGTGGCTGCTGCCAAAATGCCTTTGTTTTGGTTACAATTGCACAATATTTTTGGCTGTGCAAATTCTACAAAAATATCTCGTTTTGTGTGCCGCTGTTTGTATGCCAATTTACATTTGATAATACGCCCGCGAACTGTTGTCGTCAGAATGGTAGCTAATTAGTGGGATTTGTTTGCCAGTTTTTAATGGTTATATGAAGCGCCAGCGAGGCGTGTGCCCACAATCGAGACCCATTCATGGACCCGGAGCACGCGTCAAAGGTGCGCCGCCGGAGATAAATTTTTGTGTTTTTTTTTTCGGAATATGTCGGTGAACATTTATGGCAAACGCATTGGAATTTGACATGCATGAAAATAGATATGAATGCCAAATATATTTATGCTCATATATGGGCAAAAGTAAGTAAAACAAAACATTATCACTTGGTAGCAGATGAGAGAGCCCTTATACCAAATTTGATGTTTTCAACTTTAATCAATGAGTTTGTGTGTTTGGAATGTATTTGAATTCATTCAAAATGCATTTAAATACTTGCTGGCCTTCCGAATCATTCTCGAAGTTATATTTTCATACAATTTTACTTTCATAAGGATCAGAAGAATGTATTTCTTAAACAATTTCGGTTTGTTAGAATTGAAACTAATATGCAAAGAATAAATATATGTTTGAAAAACTTAGGTCGAGTTGAAGGGCCCTTCCTTAAATTCAGTTGTAGAAATCTGATCTTTTCCAATTTAATTCTCATTTAGGGCACTCTCCAGTCAATACATTTCAAATGCCCATCGACAGATGCCTTAAACTGTTCATCTACGTTTCGGGCAGTATCAAACTGATGATGAGCATATGCAAAAATAAGTGCATGGATATGGAATATGGATGGGGTATATGTAGATGCGCACACTCCAAAATAATCCTCCCTGGGAGAAATAATCAGGCGCGACATAAACAACAATTGACAAACGGTAAAAACTGTCAAAGGCAATTGTCGCTGTCTTTGTTCGGATGGGCACAACAAACTGACAGACAGACAGACAGACAGATAGACAGACAGTGAATGAGGCTGGCAAAGTGATTGATCATTTGATGAGCTCTTTGATTTGCAGTCATTCTTTGGAGTGAAGGGAATTTCTCGCATCAATTTCGAGTGGGCTGACTAAATGGACGTGGGAGTTTCTAGTTTGCACCTTGAACAAGATTCGTTTACCTCAATGCCTATGCGAAGCACGTGCCGCATGCCTGTGTGAAGGCGCTGGCTAGCATATAAAAATCAGTCTGTGCCACATGCAACAGCAACAGCAACGGCAACAGCAGCCGCCTGCTGCCTGCATAACCTCGTAACGTTGCAGATGAAGTGCAGCTGTTTAGAGCTGGCGGCTTGCCGCAGTCTTTGCCACTTCCTTTTCGTGGTCTGTTTGAGAATTTAACCCGTGCCGTCTACGTGCTCCGTTGCACTCAGAGCTAAATGAATTGTTGTTATTATTTACAACTTGCGCTTTTTGTGTCGCATTCGCGGCTAATACCACCTGTTGGCCATCGTCTTTGCACATTTATTGAATCTTAATTAATTGTGATCCTTTGATTTCTCATGCAGCGCTCAATGCAGGCAGCACTTTTCATTTCTATAATCGCCTCTGATGTGCTGATAACTCCAGACTCTGTCCACCATAATCATAATCGTAATCATAATCATAATTAAGTTAAACGTCTATATGTGCAGCGTTTAGCGTCTGCTTAAGCAACTTGCCCCGCTGGCTTGCTACATCTTGTCGTAGGTCATGCGTGATGCTGGCCAGTCGGATTGTCGTCGGGATCGGTCGCACCTAACTGGCCTGGCGCTACGCTACTTCTGCTCACTTGATTGCTTATGCGCATTTATTTATGCGGGATGAAGGCAATTGTGTACTGATTTCGCATCTGGCATTTGGATGCTGTGCGTGATTGGCTTTGCCTAGGCCTACATATAAAAAGATCGAGAGAGATATAGAGCTGTCTGATTGCTGACAGACCAACCTTAACATATGATTCATATGCACTATATAAGCATGATGGTCGTAGTTTATTGTTTCCTTAATCGTTGATTAGTTTATAGAATATATACAATTAAATATATTGAATATTAATTTATTAATCAGTTTTCTTAGTAATACATATTAAATATTTTTTAATTTTATTGCAACTCTTCTATATTCTACTCTTTTTATTCTGTGACAATTATTAACATTTTCATACACTAAAACAATTGTTATATTTTATTTCTATCATTATTTAATATGAACTGTCCATTTACTACTCGAGTTATATTATTTAATTTTCTTAAGACACCGAAACATATAAAATGAAAGTTTTTTTCTTATATCGTTTATTTTCAAGATTTAAATGCCTTCCAGCTGAACTTCAAAGTGCTCACAGGCCGAGCCAAATAAAAATTGAGCTGAATGCTTATCCATAATTAATTATGAACCAATTAAAATTTCAACGCCACCCAGTAGACAAACAAGTTTACAATCTTATCAGAGTATCTCGATGGATGGCTCGATGGAGCACAGATGCATTGCAAGTGAACTGATCAAGGAAAAGGTTGAAGAGTCTGAACAAGGGAAAGGTAAATTGGAAGCAAATAATCACATATGATATTAAAGCTGCTGTCCAAACACGTTGATGGGAAAGGTTGAATGAAACAGAACGAATGTGCCGCTGGCATCTAACTGCATACTGAGAGTTGAAGAAAGTTTAATTTTAGTAATATCCAGCACCTGGGAAGCCTGTCATCAAGTCGAGTTCCTTGGCACGTATCAGATGCGATACAATTGGTGTTTGTGCGGTAATCAAACGTTTCATGGCCAAAAACACATTAGTGTCAAATGGCTTTTGCCCCGAGCAATGAAAGTGCCTGATTATTGTTTAAATAAGCGGAAGGATGCGTGGTTGGGCCAGCTTGTGTTGGCCGCCAAAACCGTCATTAAAATCATTATGTCGCAAATGTGGCAAATTTTCAACAGTCCATTTAACTGATTAGAGTGTCGATTTTGGTCAGATTGCCTGCTGAAGAAAATGCCGAGAGCAGCCACAGTGGACCTCTTTAAGCCTGTCCAAGAAAATTACGCTCTCGCGATACAAGCATATAATTTTGGCACCTTTTGCCTTATTTTTGGGTGCCCAGCTCCTGCGCTGTGAAAAAGTCATAAAATTAATTTTATGAGTCATAATTTTTATAATCAAAAAGTCTAACGCGTAAGTTGGGGCTCATATAATGGAAATACACATCAACTTTTTTTGTAATTGGGTTCTAATCGAGCTCATATATAAGATCACAAGCCCCTGACTCTGTAACTTCAAAAATCCATTAGCATTTGCCTCAAACACATTTGTCAAAAGGCCTCTCAAAAAAAAAAAGATTATTGTTTTTGTTGTGGGTGATTCGTGTGTGTTTCTAAAATATTAATCAGTCAATAGGCAAAATGTTAATCCGCATTTAAAATACCTTGCTGTTGTTGTGGTTTCCCTTGATCTATTAGTGGACCGCCCAGTGTGGCGACCAATTAATTGCGTAAATGGAAAAATTGCCTTTGGTTCCCCTTTTGTCGTTGTTGGGTGCCACAAGTCACACTTTGGTTATTTTTTCGAGCTTGTGTGTGATTGCTGTCACTGAGATACACTTAGAATATACCTATATACATATATAGAGTGTAGAAGGTGATCAATTCATTATAGAATATAGAGTCAATCAATTAATATTTTATATTATATCATTTTGTTCTCCTTATAGAGAGAAAATACTTATAAAAAACATATTTTATCTTAAATTCAAAATAAAAATTAATAATTATTTTTATACTAACTCTTTCAATTACATCTGAAAAATGATTTTGATCGCTTAAAGCCAATTTCCTAGTCTGATACTTTGGAATTTTTTTCAGTGCATAGCACAGCTAATTAATTAATAATATTTGTGTTCAAAAGCGTTAGAAATCCATTTGAAACTATACCAATTTTTATTTATTTTAACAGCACAATGATTAATTTGATGCGCTAAAAAACGAAATATGTTTTTTTTTTTTTTTTTTTTTTTTTTAAATAACAAATTTTTTGAATTTGTTGCTATTGTTGTTGTGTTATTTGTGGAGTCGTCAATGACAGGCCCTTTTGGAACAGCTTGAGCTTTTGGAGCCGAAGAGCACGCGCTCATTAGAGCACAGTCAGCCTGCGCCGCTGGAGTCGGAGTGTGGAGTTTGGAGTTTGGAGAGTGGAGTCTGGAGTTGAGACCACACCGGGTGTATCTACATTTAAAAAGGTATGATTATTATAATGTTGAGCAATTAATTGCGAAAAGCCAAAGATCTGAGCACAGCTGCAACAAACTAAA